CCCTTTCAGCAGTTGCTGTGTGCGGCCCCTTTGCCGATGACTTTGGCTTTCATTTCGCTCTTTTCAGAGAATTTCTAGATGTGTGTGTGTGTTTTTTTTTTGTTCCACTGCTCACAGTTAGTTCATTTGTGCCCCCTTATAGCATTCATAACCAGCAAATGTGTTAATAATTAATCGCATGACATGGCCGGAATGCGATCAGGCCAGAAAACCGTTAAATTTGGGCTCTGCTTGGCTCAGTTTTGTGGGTGTAATTAATGTTGATGTTCCAGAAGTGCAAGTGAAGTCGATATCAGATCATATTCGCCCTGACCGGCAGTGCTTAATGTTTAGCGCTACATTCAAAAGCAAAGTGGAAAGACTGGCTAGAGAAGCGCTTACAGATCCTGTGCGCATTGTGCAAGGAGAAATTGGCGAGGTATTGCCATTTTTAATGCATTCCATCCTTAACTTATGTCTTTTTGCTGAGATCGCCCGGATAAATGGTCTCGAGTTTTTGATTGTTCCTCCACCTATGCCTCCTTACTACTACAGTTATCGAGTTATCGATGTGCTAATTGTTATTAGAAAAGTTGCCGCATCGTGTAATGTCCTGAGCATCTCTCAGTTATTTTTTTTTTCTGCATATATCACTTTTTGAAGAGGCTTACAGTTGTAACTTTTCCGTGAATACTGCTTGAAAGGTATTTGGTGCATTTCGATTGGCTACCAAGTTCTTTCATTCCTTACAAAAAGCCTTTCAACTTCAGTGTATAAGATTTATTTATATGCCTACTGTTCATCGACTGCAAAGTTTTATTTTAACGGAATGCAGTGTGTACTGCAAGCTCTCTTACTTCACAGTATTGGTAACATATATGCTGAAAAGTAGGAAAAACGGCGCTATTTAGCATCGACGAGGAAGCACTTCAAATGCTTTCTTCACGGACTACATCTGTGCTCACTAGCAGCGATGGATGTTGTAGGATTTGTTTAGCGAACATACAATCAGTGTGAGAATAGCGGGACTCCGGCTCCACAGAGAATAAGATTTGGAACAAATACACAGATGAACAACAAGTTCTGCCTCGAGCCGAAGGAAAAAGAGCAGAATGAATGGCCTTCATTAAATTTCGGGACAGTGCTAACTTACAGTCAGTTGCAGTAGCAGCGTTTTAGCTCTGCTTTACAACTAATTCTGTTGTAAGTTTGCTGGGGAGGAAAAATCAACGGTAACCAAAAAAA